TGCAACTTTTTTGTTCGTGCGCCGAGCATAAACGGGTTTAATTAACTTAATTCACCCCGTTATGCATGTGCGATTGTAACGGTTCGTCGGTAGCTTCCTTGTAGGAACTCACCAAAAGCAGGCAAATAAACAGAAGGAAGGGACGACATTCCATTCCCAGAGCCCCATGCACTTCATAGCTCCAACATGTGAGGCGTTCTATCGTGCTTGGATGTTATATATCTGGTCCGTCTATCAATAAAAATCTAACGGTTCAAACAATAAAACAAAGATGTCTTACAAAAGGTAGTAAAAAAATGGGCCAGGCAGTTAATTTGTAGATTAGGTGAAAGGTTAAATATGTAATTGTCACTACTTGAGAAATCATCTTTGGTCGGTTACCAAAAACAACAATACTCCCGGTTGCTTAAAAAACCGGGGGTTTAAAAGTGCAATAATCTTTAGTCCCAGTTAGTGTTACCAACCGGGACTAAAGATCATCTTTTGTCCCAGTTTATTTATTGGCACGACGTGACAGGTCTCCTAATATTTTTAATCCCGGTTGGTATGAATAACTGGGACTAAAGATCAGATTTTTAGTCCCGGTTGTTTATACCAACCGGGACTACAAATCAGTTTCCCACGTCTCGCTCTCTCTCTTCCATCATTCTCTCCGCGCGCATCGATCTGAGTCCTCATCACCCTTATCTCTTCCTCCCCTCCACTCTTTATCTCTCCGTTCTTTTCCTCACCTTCCTTTTTCACTCTCATCTCTTCCTCTCCCCCTTCTTCTTCCACATCTGAGTTTTCCTCTCATCTCACCTTCTGTTAAGTTTTCCTCTCTTCTCTTCCTCAGATCTGCGGGACAAGCGGCCGGCAGCGGTCGGGCCCGTGCCAGGGAGTGGCGGCGGCGGTCAGGCCCGTGTAGGGCGGGGGCGGCGGCGGCCGGGCCCGTGCTGGGCGGGGATGGCAGCAGCCGCGGCCGGGCCGTGCCGGGCGAGGAAGGCGGCGGTTGGGCCGTGCCGGGCTAGGGAGGCGGTGGCGGAGTGACAGCGACCAGGCGGTGGCGGAGCGACGGCGGCCCGCCGCGGAAGGTGGCGGCGGCGGCAGGCTCCATGGATTTTTTTCTTTTTTTTCTCTTTTTCCTTCTCGTTGTGTGAATAATTGTTTGTTGATTTGATCTGTGATTTGAGAATGATGTGTGAATGATTTGTGATTTATTGTTGTGGATGAGTTGGGATATTGAGATATTGGGTTGTTGCTGTGGATGATTTGGGATGTTGAGATGTGTGAACGATCTGTGATGTGTGAACACAATCTGTGATTTATTATTTTTTAATGATTTGGAGATATTTGGCGCCAGAAAAGAAAAAAAAGGAAAAAAATAACTTTTGTACCGGTTCGTAACACCAACCGGGACTAAATCGGTTCGTAACACCAACCGGGACTAAAGTTTAGTCCCGGTTGATGTTACGAACCGATTTAGTCCCGGCTGGTGTTACGAACTTAGTCTTGGTTATTTCAATCGGGACTAAAAATAGATATTTTTAAGTCCCGGATACATAGTCCCGGTTGTAAAACTGGGACTATAGGGGTTCTCAACCGTGATTAAAAAGCGATTCTCCAGTAGTGTGAGTCCCTTTTATCAGATTAGATATGGTAAATAGAAAATCTATTTTTAGTCTTGGTTATTTCAACCGGGACTAAAAATATCTTAGTCCCGGATACATAGTCTCGGTTGGAAAACCAGGACTATAGGGGTTCTCAACCAGGATTAAAAAGCGATTCTCCGTAGTGTGTGTCCCTTTTATCAGATTAGATATGGTAAAGAGAGGGCGATCACAACTTATGCTATGCAAATAAACCATATATAGCTGAACATATAGATTATATAACAGGCGATAAATACCTGTTGATAATGTACAATATTTAAATAATATTAATTAACTTTTTATGGGAAGGACAAGTTGATTGATGTGTAGTTTATTATTGTAACGCACAAAACAACGTAGCAATACCCTATGGACACACGCACGCAAACCCTACCCCTATGAGCATCTTCGAAGACTGGGCCGGCAAATTCTGGAGAGATTGACAAAGTCACCACAGGCGCCTCGCTGTCGACGGGTACGTCGCCTACCACTGAAAGCACAACGCCGTTAAATCCTGGAAAATTCGCTCCCATGGAGAGTCGAACCTAGGACCTCAGGTGCTACTGAGGCTCTTGTAACTACTAGGCTACAGGCCCTTTCGCAACAACGTAGCAATATTTAATACACTGAATGTATAATTAATGATAAAACTAAGTAAGTAATCAATAACTATATATTTTCCTTTAGTTAATCTATATGCTCAGATTCATATAGTGTTCCCAGAGAAAAGAAAAAAGAAAGAGATTTTTAAAATATTTTTATGCCCAGTTATCCTTAATAAATCAACGGTGTGTGTTTTATTGGAGGTGGAGGTACTTGAGGTACCTCTCAAGCACATTAAAAGATCTCACAACATGTACTTACCCCAATACATTCATCCGTGTGTGAATCGTGGTTGCTGAGGATCGAGAAAACATTAAAACACCCCTACACATAAGCACGGCGAACCACTGATACATCTGCCGCACGGCCGCTCCTACATCATATGTAAACCTACATATAAGTCCAAGTCCAAACTAAGCAGGGGCGGATCCAATAATAGATTGGAGAGGTTGATCTCCTTCTTCCTCCTCTCCCTATTTTCCCTCTCCTCTCTTCTTTTCTCAATGATCATCTAGTGGGGTAAGGGAGCTCAACCCCCCTAACCATCTGCCCATGAAACTAAGGGAGACAACGTACATTGATTGATATGTTGTTGGAGAGCCTCGCGCTGCTTCTGTCGGAGATATAGATTTTTTTTTAAGTAATAGGAGTTTATAAAACCCGGCTTCTACACCAACGTGGTGCATACAACTACAGAAATTCCAAGTGTAATAGCTTAGTCATTACACATAAGTTTACAACCAAAATGAGCACAAATGCTCAAATACCCTACATAAAACTAAAAGAGCACAAATACTCCAACACCTATCAAAGTGAAAAGAGCACATTTTCTTCTCTCAAAATGAGCACAATTGCTCAAATACCTTATTTTCTTCTCTCATTAAGTCATATCACCTTAATTCTTTTTAGTCCTTAGATGATTAATCTATGGTCCAAATTACCTCCCTCCTTTTTTTCTCTCATAAAGCTACATCGCTTTACTCTTACATTTGGATCATCATTCTACATACTATTTAAATTATCATAAACCATATCAACTTATGTGAGCTCATGTTGTCTAGCTATTTTACACATTATTTTTACTTATTGATATCGTATTGAACTCCTGCAGCAACGCGCGGAGTTTCACCCAGTATTTCTAAACTTCCTACCGCACCGTGCGAGGTATCCACTAGTTAAATATGTCGACAAAAAGTAAAGGAAGCCCGCGGTGCAAACATATTCCATGACGTCTTTTTTTTTCAATTTCTTTTACTATTATGTAGAAGACATTCGACACGGAAAACTAACCGTACAACCTAACATTCTCAAGATTCTTACTTAGGGTGAATTAGCACTATAAATTATAATTATGTCGATATATTGTCGTAGTATTGTTTTTCTGATATTTTTCCATGTGCTAAATTAATGGTCAACCATCAAGAAAAATAACTTCTGATGTGAAGTCGTATTTTCTTGTGGGTTCACCCAGACAGGACATAGGATATATCATGTATCCTAATTCTAGTAGTGATGCCACTACATGCACACACACCTATTAGTTAGCAATATTGCTAACTAGAGTAAGGATCATTAGTGGACCTATTCGGCTGCCCTTATTTGCACTGTGTTGCAGCTTATACGGACAGTACTTTATATGTGCAGCTGTAGCGCAGCCGAACAGGCCCAGTAAGTCCTTGGCTAAAAAGGTCCCGGCGATCCACTATTGAAATTTGAATTAATTTGGTTAGCCAAATAATAATTTCTTTGGCCAAACAATTTACCTGAATTTTAGAAATTTCGATCCAAGGTATTACGACCCAACCATGGTTACAAGTACCTGTGATGGTTGTAACGGGACATTCCCTCGCACGTACGTACAAGGATAATTAGCTGGATTTTCCATTTTCCATGTGACCAAGAAGGTCAATTTTAAAAAATAAAAAGAAAATATTTTTTATCGATATGACATAGATATACTCTTTTCAAAATAATTAGTAACATTATACTGTCATCGTATCTGGGGGACGCAAAAACGCTGGATATGACGGTGGGATGCGCGAGTTCATACCAACCATTTGCAAACTAAAGATAAAAATGAGGATAACCTGTTATCGGATAATTGGAAAAAAAATATGAGCATGTTGAAAACCGAACACACATGACTCACCGCTGCACTATCCAGTGTATCTCCACCCATGCGTAAACTTGCATGAGTTTGTGTTGATGACGTCCTGAGTTCGCGCTATCAACTCGCACGAGTGACGTCATTAGTTTGTGCGGTGAAATGGCAAACTCGCACAAGTTCACATGGTGAACTCGCGAACTTGCACGACTCCATGCCGATGACTTAACGAGTTCACGCGTTGGCAGTGTGAACTCGCACACATCATCACTGTGTCACCAGTTCTATATCTCGCGGATGTGACAACGGTATAATGTTGCTAATAGTTTAAAATGAGTATATTTATGTCATACCTTCTAAAAAATATATTTTAAAAGAAAAATCGAATTTTGTGCCGAAATCCCGATAGTTTTTCTCCTCCCACAACCGACCAAGGTACAATTGATTCCGTGTCGCATATCTGTCTTAATTTCGTGGAAGGCCATAGCGGAGAGATCAAAATCCCGGCCGGCCTGATTGGGTTATCTTATCCTCAGTCCTGAACACACCACTTGATCTCCACAAAGTCGACACGCAAGGTGCATGTAAGGTTACCAACTGCCAAAACACACCAATTGTCTGATAGTAGTAGGAAAGTAGAGCCCGGACGGGAGAGGAGATCGATGAGACCTAGCTTGACACACACACACGAGAGAGAAAACGAAGAAAAGAAAGCCAACGAAAAGGCAAACGACGACCAAAATATTGACCCTTTTCCTCCCTGCAACCACCACCACCACGTCCCAAACTCGCACGTTTCTCCCTTTCTCCTCCTGTATACGTACGTACGTGCCGCTTTCGCCACGCGCCATGCATGCACCACTGCCACCACTATCAACCACACACCGTTCTCCTCCTCGCGCCGCCTATATAAGGCCTCGCACGCATCCATCCACCAGGTGCACATCACAGCCGTTACAGCTGGTCACTACCAACAAGTACAACACACAAGTCATCACATATATATACCTCGCATCGCATCGATTCCATCGATTCGCGCGGCCATGGCGCCCGAGCTGTCCTCCCCGTCGTCGTCACCTCGCTACACCGTTGGCTACGCGCTGCTGCCGGAGAAGGTGAGCAGCGTCGTGCGGCCGTCGCTGGTGGCGCTGGCCGCCGACCGCGGGGTGCGCCTCGTCGCCGTCGACGTGTCGCGGCCGCTCGCCGAGCAGGGCCCGTTCGACCTCCTCGTGCACAAGATGTACGACCGCGGGTGGCGCGCCCAGCTGGAGGAGCTCGCCGCGCGCCACCCCGGGGTGACCGTCGTCGTCGACTCCCCCGGCGCCATCGACCGCCTCCTCGACCGCGCCACCATGCTCGACGTCGTCTCCGGCCTCCGCACCCCCGTCTCCGTCCCGCCCCAGGTCGTCGTCAGCGACGCCGCCGCCGACGCGGACGAGCTCCTCGCCCGCGCCGCGCTCCGCTTCCCGCTCATCGCCAAGCCGCTCGCCGTCGACGGCAGCGCCGAGTCGCACGACATGCGCCTCGTCTACCGCCGCGACGGCGTCCTCCCCCTCCTCCGCGCGCCGCTCGTCCTCCAGGAGTTCGTCAACCACGGCGGGGTGCTCTTCAAGGTCTACGTCGTCGGCGACCGCGCCACCTGCGTGCGCCGGAGCAGCCTCCCCGACGTGCCGGCCCGCCGCCTCCTCGACCTGGACGCCGAGCCCTCCGTCCCCTTCGCCAACATCTCCAACCAGCCGCTCCCCCCACCTGATGACGACGGCGGCGCCGCCGACGACGACACGCCGGCCGCCGGCTTCGTGGACGAGGTGGCGCGCGGGCTCCGGCGAGGGCTGGGCCTGCACCTGTTCAACTTCGACATGATCCGGGAGAGGAGCGAGGAGCACGGCGACAGGTACTTCATCATCGACATCAACTACTTCCCGGGCTACGCCAAGATGCCGGGCTACGAGGCGGCCCTCACGGATTTCTTCCTTGAGATGCTCCGTGGCACAAGACCTGTTCCTGAGCAGCTGGGCCCGGGCTCGGGCCTGGACATGGAGGCCCGCAAGCTCGAGCCTGGGCTGGGTATCGGTCTAAGAGAATTGGAGTCTGGCCGAGCTCAGGCCTAGCTAGCACTCCGAGGCTCGGTGTTGGCCCGTCAGCTCGGCCCGGCCCGACCCAGCGTTTGAACATGTGTGCATTTTATACTTTGTAAACAATAATCAATGAAGCCAAGCAAATGCTACAAGTGCAAGCTAAACCTCAAAGGACGGTGTGTGTTTAGAAGATTATTAGTACATGTTCAGTCTAATCTAGTGATCCAAGTAATCAAGGTTAGTGGCAACATCCAGCCCTTTACCTTAAATGGTGAGAAATTTAACAGATTGTATTCGTTAAATGTTCATGTGAAGATCCGAGTCATCAACGCGTGCATCAAACTTTTAACTTAAATATTCTCTGTAAAAAAGAACTTTGAAGGGATACAACTGAGAAGTAACCTATCATCCTCTTTTGCTTTTTTTTTAATTGAACTTATCATTCTTTTTGCATGCTTTTATGCACTAGCACAGCTCGATTCTCTAGTGCAAAGTGCGTCTATATCAATGTGCCAGTCGATATACATGTGCGAAATTTCATATCCAGCTAGTAGTTTTTTAACATCAACTTGTTGTTACTCGACTTTGCTATGTGCTGTCAGGTGAGCTTTAACTAACACCACTCAAAGTATCATTAATCTGTGATACTCATTTGCTCGTGAGTATTGTAATTGTTTCCCCGTTGCAAACCTGTGAGTTTATATAATTTTGTGATGAATGCAAACCTTTTTTTTTTATGCAACGGTTTTCATATTTCTGTCCCTTGGGTAGTGGAGTGGCTACTGTAAACATCCAGCATACTTGGCTTTCATGGTTCTTCAAATCTTGCTGCAATAATGGAATCACATTGAACACGCAACAGAACAGAGCAGCGCTATTTCAGACATTGGATAAACTGAAGTCCAGAATTCATTCATATCTGGAGAGAACAGTATTATCTCAGAGAAAAGAAAAACACCATCTCTTAAGCTAAGAAATCATTTCGGAACAGAATTTTGCAAATATTACTAGTAACATAGAGTACTTAATTTTGTCTGACCAAACGAAATTAAGGGTGTAGAGTAGCCCTCATCTGCTGCTGAAACGATCATAACTTCTGGCTCTGGATTCGGTTCATATCGAGATTATGTGAGCTTTATACCAGTCAATTACTTAATTAGCAATAATTTAAGTACAATTAGTTTGAGATATCCAGAACACGAGTGAAATCAAATCTAGTGCCCATATTAAGATGTTCCCCGTTGCTAAGAGTGTTGGAAGCAAACTTTTTTTTTTAACGCGTAGAAGGATTGCACGTCAATATATTAGAAGAAAAGAGTTATAGTTACATAACGCAATCAGCTAGACCGGCTTATGCCAAGCGAAGGGAGAAAAGGCAAAATAAAAAGCTGAAGCTTAGAAAACTACGGTGGCTAAACACAAACTCCAAGCAGCGAGAAGGGGCCGAGCCATGCTACACTCCCAACAGATCCCAAAAGCGGCAACAACGCCAGCTAAAGACCACAGATGGCATTCCGAGTGGATGGACTCCAGAACCACTGAGACTGTAGAGAAAGCAGAGTCGAAAACCCTATAATTCCATTCCTTCCACAGCTGCCAAGAAACCAGGAGCACCAGAGAGTCAAAGCCGGCGCGGAGATGCTCACGTAAGCAGGCCCTGGAGGACAGCCACCGGTCCTAGAACCAGCTGCACACGGAGCTAGACCTGCCGAGCAAACACGCAGTCGAGGAGGATGTGGTTTGTCGTCTCAAGATCCTGAGCACAAAAGGGGTAGGCCGAGTGACTACGATGCCATGCTTCTGGAGGAGATCAGCCGTCCAGCGGCATTGCTGGAATGTAAACCAAAGGAAGAACCTACATTTAGCAAGACCCTTTGCGTACCAAAAATGATTAGCACAGGCAAAGTAATGCTGGCCATAGAAGAAAGCCTAGTACACCCAACGCGCTTACCGCTGGTCAGACATCCAACGCCAAACGAGACAATCCTCGACACCCGGCGAGTGCTGTACGTGAAGCACCGCATCCCAAATAAGGAGAAACTAGGAGATGACCAGGACAGTGAGGTCACCGTGGATGTCAGAGACCCACAAGTTGTTCACCAGGCCAGAAGCAACCGTGCTCAAACCTCGGAGATGCTAGGGAACGGCGAAGAAGAGATCTGGAACCAAGGATGCCATCGAGCGGTCGTCGATCCATTGGTTAGATCAGAAGAGCATAAACTCACCATTTCCCAGCATGATGAAAGTAGATGCCGCGAACATGTCAGAGACGGATTGCTCAACTGGGGCCTTCAGGCCATCCTAGTAGGAAGTGGCGAAGCTATATTATGTTGGGGGGTGCACATGGACCCCCCCTCCCCCCAAATTCCTAATTTCTCACTAAAAAACACTAGAATGTACAGTGTTGTAGTGAAATTTTCTAGATTCTCAATGGTAGTGCACCCCCCTTGTTTTGATGCTAGCTTCGTCCCTGCCAGTAGGGGTGCCCTGAGCACTGAAGCCAGAGCCAGCGAACACGCATGGCAAATCCTGCCAACCTGAGGTCAGGAATCCCCAACCCATCGTAGGTTTCGGGACGACAGACGTTCGTCCAGGACACCCGACACTGCCCCCCCTCCCCCCAATGAGCCGAGTCCATACCCATCCACAAGAAGACGTCATGTTTCTTGTCAACGGCCTTAATAACCCAGACTGGAAGGCTAATCGTCATAGATACATGGACCGGGATGGAAGAGAGAACCGACTGGACTAACATAGAATAGCCAGCTAGAGTGGTAAGTCGTCCCTTCCAAGGCAGGAGTCGGTAAGAGACTTTATCCACAAGGGTGGAAGCAAATTTTTGCTTTGTTGCAGCAATAGTGTGCACATTTCCATTCCTTGTCTTAAAAAAAATGTTTTAATAGTTTGTCATAATAAAATTGAATCGGAGTAGCATGTGGCACGATGATGGAATCGTGGATGTATGAACAAAATATTACAAATAAGGGTACGATTGTAATATGAGATGTTAGGGAGATTATAAAGTTGTCGCTGGTCTCGAACTGTGATTGGGCCATGTCATCCGAAAACATACGACCGTCCGATACAACCATGGGGTAAACAAGGAGCGTTAGATCAGATCAGGAAATCTTTCAAAAAAAATGCTCTTCCAGATACTTCTCTCAACTTCCGGTCCTCCCGCCTATGCACATTTTTATTTTTCCCCTCCCTCCCGTGCGTTGTGGTGCCGCATTTACCGCCTCCCCTCCTCTCCTCCTCGCCGCAACCGTCGCGGCGACGCCTCCTCCCATTCCCGTCGCTCCTTCTCACCATCCCTTCTCCGCTTCCACCTCTGCCTCCCCCTAGCCACCGAATTTTTTTTATCTAAACACATGCAAACCACTAATTACAAATGTGAGCACACAACAATTACATTTAATTATTTAGGCAAGATGCTCATATACAGCGATATGTTTCCCTCTAATCAGTAGCCCAACAAACTGGCCGTTGAACTAATCATGTTAGCCTAACAACCCACCTCTAAAATTGGTTAGTTGCATCATTACGGGGAGTTTTCTCCATTGTTCAAATCTAATTCATCCGGTAGTATGAAAATCATAGGGTTTAATTAGGGTATTATACTACTAAATTTTCAATACTAGCGATTCATATTAGTGGATCAATTGTTTGCTCCATGCTAGCAAGTTTGATTAGTCGATCACAATGTGCTCAGAATAGAAGAATTTTAGTTGCACTATGGCCACGCTAACACTGTCACTGTCAAAGGTTATATTAGATGGTTTATACATACACACACCATCATCGTGTCGAGGCTACCGTCATGGCACTGAGCCAAAGCTAACAGGATAAGAAATGAGGAGCCCATATCATGGACAGTACAGCACTAGGTCAACTGGATTTACGGTGGTGACGTGGGCAGGTTGTTTAGACCTAGAATTCCAACTTTTACGTGCTCACATTTGTAATTAGTGTAAGATCAACGTGTGTTTTGATTCTTATTATGTGATGAACAATTGGCATATGTGATTATTGGTTTTGATATTTGGAGATTATCGTCGAAGTGGTTTTGGACAGGTGATGAACAAGGTTTGTTGTTTTGTCGGGACCGGTCAGACTGGGCGGAGGTTGCCGGTCAGACCGGCGCTATGTGTGCGGTCAGACCGGCCCGGCCCGCGGTCTGACCGGCCGACGCTGTGTCGGTTTCGGTTTCGGGTTGTTTCTTTGGATATCCGTGCTTGTTTCATGGTTATGGCTTCTAGATGGATACTATACGTATGTAATACCGTTGTTTGCTAACAATGAGTCAAGTTGGGGATAGCTTGGTCTCGGAATATGGTTTCTTTATTTGCTTCATGTGTAGGTGACTCAATGCCTCGGGAGAGTATTTGCGGTGATGGACTGGGAGTCGGTTTGGTGGTAAGACGATGTCCGTGGTGGTCAGATATCATGCGGGATACTAAGGCTAGAGTTGATGCACGTGGTTGATGGAGATTCCATATGGCATACGATGGAGGTATTGTGTGTATATGGGATGCGGAGTCAAATTTGGAAGGAGTCCAAATTTGGTACGATTGGTTATGTTAAGTTTGTGTCTTGTACTAGAGGGTTTTCTAAGGTGTTTAGAACTCTTAGTATGAGTTTGGTTCGTGGCTTTAGGCTGCCTACCTCATGTATAAATAGAGGGGGAGCGTGAGGCTTACCGGTATCGCTTTTGTATCGCTTTGGAGAGCGATTGAGTTGCTAGTTTAGCTAGGGTTTTGAGTTTAGTCGAGATTTTTGTAAGGAGTGCTATTGTTGCACTTTGTAAACACAAAGAGAAGCAATAAAGTTGTCATCAACTTTGAGAGTTCTTCGATTTGTGTTTCACCAGGTTTCAACGGTCTAACCGATGACTCACCGGCGGTCAGACCGGCGGCAAGGCGGCGGTCAGACCGGCGGCGTAAGGGCGGTCCGACCGACGGCGGCGACAGGCGCGACGAGCGACTTCGGCGGTTCGACCGATCGATCTACATCGGTCAGACCGACGTTCTTCAGGCGGTCAGACCGGTGCATCTACTTCGGTCAGACCGCGATCCATCGATTTGAGGGTAACTTTTATTTCCGCTAAAAGTTTTGGTTTTGAGGTATATCAACCATTCACCCCCTCTCTGGTTGGCTTAGTTCTTATGATTCGATCCTACAATTAGTGGTTTGCATGTGTTCAGATAAAAAAAATTCGGCCCTAGCCACGCCCCCTCTTCTTTCCCCTCATCCCCAACAGCACCGCCTCTTCCCATTGATCTGGGCTCGCTCCATCAATAGCAGGGATCTAATTCGGTAGCATGGCTCGATCCAGTTCTTCTTGTCCCCCTGTGGTGAAGATTGCCAGGGGAAAGATTAAAGGTCCCAAAAACTGCACGATTGGGGAAGTCAACATTGACTACAATGGTGAGTATAACTTCTCGCTCCTGACAGTGTTCATTGTATGATGTGCAGATACCAGGTCTTCAGCTAACTCTGAGAAGTTGAGCACATGCATGTCCTAGCTGCTAAAGTGGAATCAGTACACGCCTATTTATTATTTTTTTAATGATGTAATTATGTCTAAAAAACTTGAAGATCTAAATCTGAAATAGTAAGTTTGGACTAAAAAAGATCAACAAGTTCTAAAACGGGGTGTTTAAAGCCACTTATGTATTTGCAATTTTTTTAGTATGCAGATTTCATTTAAGGTCACTGTAAAAAGAACATGTCCTACAAACATAGAAAGATTTTAAGCAATAAATATTATAGTTGTACAACAGAAAAATGTGTTGATGGCTCAAATTCATTAATGATAAACAATTACCCCTCCGTCAATACGAATGTGAAAAATGTTAGAATGACTTACATTGTAAAATTGTGAAACGGAGGAAGTACATGCACAATTGAATTTCATATATCATGTTATACTCATTTCAAAATGCATATGACAACAAATGGGTTTCAAACTAGCAGCAAAATGGTTTATAAGTGGATTGAGATAGTATTTCATTACTTTTGCACACAAACATATAAAATTCAAAAATTAAGTTTCCAAATAAATTCCATGAGTATTTGATTAATTCGATAGTTGCCAAAAAAAATTAGTTGTGACAAGTTAGCTGCTAAAAAGTTATAGCTGTGACAAGTTGTGATAAGAAAAATCTAGAATTATATGCAAGTTGGCTGCTTCAGAAGTCATTGTATTACATGATGTAGATAAGTCAGAAATTTACACATTCTTTTTTCTTGGTATTGGTGTTGAACCATACCAATATTGTCGAATTTGGCTCCTTGAGTACATTCATCTGCACTGGAATTCCTTATCAACCATTAGTCACTAAGTGTTCTTCCTTGTCATACTATTGCCTCAAGTAAACAATCTACGGAAATTTGTGTTTAACTAGTCGGGTGCCCGTGCGTTGCTACGGATCTTGAATAAGTAATATGATATGGTGTAACTTGAAAATATATAAACGTGTCTGCATTACTGTAAGTAAGCTAGAAGGCAATATTATATTTGAATAGAAAAAAGTTACTCCGACGTCTCCCAGGATGTCGATCAACAATTACAAGATATAAATTCCAAAAGAACAAATATGCCATGGATGTAGACTCATAGGTCCTCTTTGGGACCAATTATAGCAACGGACAGCTTATGATTACTCTAATATCTGATTATCCCCAAACAACAAAATTATTCATAAATATCTGGCCAACCAAACAAGTCATCACTTTTTTTTTTTTTGGGGGGGGGGGGGTCTAGTCATTATGCACTCATGCCGTATATTCAAATATAGCAGGTACATATTTGGACAACTGCATATAATCCATAATCAAGATAATCAAAAGCTTTCATAAAGGTGGCCATATGCATAGCATTATCAATAGTTATGACATGCCGGATTTGTGCAGCCATGCCATCACCTCCACTTGATCCTCACCACGTTGCCAGACCTGCACGCGCCAACAACAGAAGTAAGAATGTCTTCATCGAGAATGTCATCACCTGCTGCTTCAGTTGCTTGAATGTTGCTTCTGAATCTGAAAATTAGCAGCAAATTCAAAAGCTTTCAGTTTTAGAAAGTGGCACCATGGCACTCAAGTTCTTGGTTCCTTTATCACAAAATTGGCAAATTATCTACCACCATCTGTACCTTCATATGCATCCACCAAGATGTTATATGAAGCTCTGTCACAATCACCCCTCACCAAATGCTGCATCAAGGAGAGATCCCTCAAGCGCCTTGCAGCAATCCTGTATGGCTGTGGTGCATTGATATATACAATGTATATTACTCCAAACTTAAAGAAAAGTAAAAAATTCCATCCAGATGTCGGTAGGAACGTAGGCTCGTGTAGCCATGGATTTATGATGACCACCATTTATCTTCCATGAGGACATCATAAGCATACACTTCGGTCTCGTGGCTAGCCTGTTGCATTCTTCAAACACTTCTTCAGTCTTCTCATACTGACTTTCCCTTGCAAAATGCATTCACCAGGGCAGTCTAAGTGCAGCTGGTAGGATTGCACCCTACTCCATCTCATTTAAGATTACTATCAACAACATCGGTTGCTCTGCATGTGAAATAATTAATCATAATTAAGAAAAACATGTCTAAATGTCTTGAACTATTGAGGCCATTAAAGTTATTTTTGAGGCACCCATCTCTATTTCATCCTTTATCAGATCAAATAAACCAAATATGGTACAGCTTAAGATATAAACCTATATTATATTATATTATATGAATAACTAACCTGATCTTGTCAGCGATGTTGGTCTAGAGGCCCCAAAATTGCTATCCATTGGAACCCTGTAATGCACAAGTTCAAAATTTTCAGTGCAGTCCAGTACAAACCATAAGGCGAAATCGAGGACCACACTTCTAGTGCATTCCAATTTCATACAGATGACAGACTCTAGTCATCAAAATATATTGTTTTTTCAATATATGTTGGAGTACAGAAGTCAAGAGAAACACATGGCGAAAAGCATATGCTGAAAGGGTTACAAATCATGCATTCCTATCTACCGAAAGATGCAATTGAAAGCAAGAACAGACAAGAACCTCTCAACTCATTCAGTTCTAGCTTATAACCAAAACTTTAGAGAAGGATCATTGTTTGCTGAAAAATAATTGGTTGCACCAAAAGAGCTTATCTTCCTGCAATTTGCAGCACAATAGCATAATAAAATATTTTTTTACTTTATTCTACTTGGTGAAATAATAGCAGTGCCCTGAATATTTCGTTAGGGCTATAACACCTCAAGATTACAGCTTTATATATTGCAGTGAGTTCTGCCGAACAAATGCCCTGCAAGAGGCTTAATCCATACTACTTGAAATACTTTTCCCTGTTTTCAGTGGCAAAAGAACTTTTCCTCTATTTGGGTATTGGTAAATCTGAAGATATATCTTGGTGACTGACAGACTGGCAGTCATTCCAGAAACTTGGCTTGGCTTTAATAAGAGCTCAGGTTAGGTAATTCAGAATATCCAACAGGAGAAATACAGGATTGATAAGATCTAAAATGTAAGCACAGTACAGTAATACAGGGTAAATTCAAACAAACTTAAGAGCACCGAAATACCCCGATCAGATCGAACAATTTCTACTAAGCTTACATAAAACAAAACAAAAGAAAAAAAATCCCAACCTTTGGAATCATTGTCAGGAATTCGAAGAATAATTCACAACTTTTTCTGTCTAATTTAAGTAAACAAGAAACCTTTGGAATTTCAGCACATATATAATGATTGAAACTTGTTCTTGATGATGCAAATTCAGTTATGGAGAAACTGAAAAATGTTAAGAACATAAAGAATAACCATATTTAACCAACAAGTGACAGGAATTTGTTTGACCATTGAGAAGACACACCTTGCAAACAAGATATATATCGCTGCACAATTAAGCCTCCAAATGAACGTGCAATTAATTGAGGTGGCAAGGAGATCTCCTTCCAGGTGAAATCAGCAATATGACAGCCTATCTGTATGAATCACCAAATGCAGGCATCTGTTTTTTTTTTGTTGTCAAGTTCTTCGTCAGAATTAAACCGGGTTAAACTTGACTTCCCATTAAATTTCGAGTACTGAAGAACTCATCTGAACTTTTCAGTAACCTGCTATTCATTGTGGCTGAAAAGAAACGCAACTACATTTTCAAGCATGAGGCTCTCCCAATAGCATGAGGAGTTGTTTTTCTGTTAGCTGTGATGTAGGGGTGATATCAGGTCAGCACGGTCTGCACAAACTTATCGGTAGCATGCTGTGCTCGATTCAGGTTTGATTTGGGCTCTCTTGTCGTTTTCACATAGGTATTCTTAATTAGTTGTAGATGTCATCAAGCTAAAAAAAATTCGTGTGCATGGCCTATGGAAAGAAGCTCAAAATCTTTAATGAAAAATGATTAAGTAGCAGTTTTCCGAAATCTGAACCTCAAAATGATTTTTTTTTGTTGGATTGCTGACTCATGTTTCAGGGTCGGATTGCTTCTTGGTTGAAAACTTGAAATAGCATGTACAAGAAACCAACATAACAGTGGGAAAGCTTATCAAGATGGAGTTAACGAGGCAGTAAAGCGACATGGCAAGAGATTGGAATGGATTGGAAGAAGAAGAAGAGGAGGAGGAGGAGATGGGAGAATTTACCATGAAACAGGTCTTGCCGATCTAGCAATCGCCGAGCAGGCTGACCTTGAGGCTGCGTCCTTGACATCCGGCGCCTTGCGGTCGGCGGCGGCGCCACCGTCGTCCCTGGGGAGCAGGGACAGAACGGCCCCGTTGGCTATGCGCTGCGGTGGCGTCGAGGAAACTGGGGTGGGGGTATGGGGAGTGGGAGCGGCGACGGCGGCGAGGAGGCGGGGAATCGCCGTGATGGGATGGACCACGAAGGAGAGGGAGAAGGCGGCGGCGTCGCGTGGCAGTTGGAGTGTTGGACGGAGGCGGTGGCGTCGAGGAAAGTGGCGCCGTGGGTTGGGGGGTGTGGGGCGACGGACGGAGGAGGCATGGATTCCGCTGCAGGCGGGGCAGGGCGGTCGCCGGTGGCAGGGCGCGATGGCGACGGTCGTCGGCGGCAGGGCGATGCGCGACGGAGTGTGGGCGGAGTGGGCGGCAGACGCGGAGAAAAAGGAGTGGGGGAGGCGCCGCTCGATAAGGGCAACCACAATGTGCTTAAAAAGCAGGTAATAAACAATAAATGCACTCGTCCAACCAGGTAATAGCCATTGTGGGGGCAGATAACAGCAAGAATCAGGCAGTAGTGTTACTGCCGGCAAGAGACAAATAAAATATAGCATGTGTACAGTGATTTTAGAGAGTTGCACTAAAATAATAGAGTAGCAGTTAGCCGTTACATTTGTAGCAATTGTAACTTGTTGCAACAACGCTACAACCTCATCCCTCTACAAATACAAACACAACTCAGTCATTTTCTGTATTTCATCAAATAAGATGGATCCTCCCAACAGAGGTTTTATGCACATGCTTAGCTAGGGCTCCCAAAGCCAAACTTCTGGAAATGGTAGCCAAAACTCCACTTCTCCACAGTTCCCCTCAATATTCTCCCAATCCCAGTTTTCTCAATCCTCAACACCCACTTTTCAGAACTTCCATCCTTTTGGGGCTCCAAACAACTATCAACCATATGGCAATTCTACTCCAAGCTTCCACGGTTTTCAGCAGCAAGCACATTGGTTACACTCTACACCAGTGAGTTTTCAAGGTTTTCGTCCTCCGGAAAATTGGGTGTACTCACCTAATCAAATTACTGGGTCTGCTTCTTCCCACGGATCAGAATCAGCCTCTCAGTGCCCTGCAAGATATGAAGAGAACAATGTGGTTGATATCGAAGAGTCAAGTGACAACAGTCAAGAGGCAGGGAGGAGAGGAACACGAGTCAACTGGACTGAAGAGGAAAACATAAGACTCCTTAGCTCTTGGCTGAATAATTCAGTGGATCCTATAAATGGTAATGATAAGAAGGCAGAATACTATTGGAAGGCTGTAGCTGTAGAGTTTAATAGCAATACATCTAGAAGTAACCGCAAAAGGACAGTTGTGCAATGCAAGACACATTGGGGTGGTGTTAAGAAGGAAATTGGAAAATTTTGTGGAGCTTATTCTCGAGCTAGAAGCACCTTCAGTAGTGGATATTCTGATGATATGATCATGGAGAAAGCTCATATTATGTTTAAGTCAGAAAACAATGAAAAACCTTTCACATTGGAGTATATGTGGAGAGAACTGAAAGATCAACCAAAATGGCGAAGGGTCTTAGAAGAAGATAGTAAGAATAAGAGGACTAAGATCTCTGAATCAGGTGCATACACATCATCGTCCAACCAAGACACGGAGGAGGAGAACAGACGCAAAAAGGAGAACAGACGCAAAAAGAAGCGCCCTGAGGGACAGAAAAAAGCCAAAGCCAAGTTAAAAGGGAGAGGTAAAAATGTCGCACCTTCTCCTTTGGGAGACCAGCCATGTCAAGACTTTGTTCTTTACAATGAAGCTATAAAAGTGAAAGCAGAAGCGATGCTGAAATCTGCAGAAGCAACATCGAAATCAGCTGAAGCAAAGAAGGAATACACAAGAATGGAGAAGTATCAGACATACTTAAAATTGTTGGACAAAGACACTTCAAATTTTAGTGATGCAAAACTGAAGAGGCATGAAGCTGTCCTCGAAAAGCTAGCTACAGAACTTGCTGAAGAATAAATGATCACCAAGTGATGTTGTATCCCTGTTACTTAGTGTGCCACTATGTGGTCTATGATCAATTTGCTGCTAGGATTTAGACTTAGCAATTATTAGACTTGTGAACTCAGTGTTAAGTTTGTAGGCTAAGTAAATGTTGGATTGTAAACTTAGTGAATGATGGTTGTATCTTTGTACCTGTAGAAGATGTTATGTACTGATAATATGTAGCCCACAGTCTTAATTGAACTTATTTGAAGTTGTTGGCCCATAATTTCTTAGCACTTGATTTAACAGCAGCCTACAAAATACATATGTAGCAGCAATAATTAGCACAATTATTTATAATCTTGCTGTTGTGATAGTTTAAAATAGTTGTAAAGCAAGACATTGATGTTTATAAAACTGTTGTTTCAATATATAAAAAGCAAGACATGGATGTTTATAAAACTATTGTTTAAATATATAAAAAGCAAGACATGGCTACTAAGAATCTAGCTGTTGGAATACATCCAAACAGCAAGGCATGCCTGCTGTGAATCTAGCTGTTGGAATACATCCAAACAACAAGTCATGACATAGTTGTATGGAATATAGCTGTTGGAAACTAGCTGTTGGAACAAAAGCAACACTGAGATGTTAGCACATATCCATTCAGTTGTATCTTCTATGAAACAGGGTATGCAGTTCAGCAAGATATATACCATTGCCTTTAATTCAGTTCATTCTCAACAAAGCCACCTAGTTCCCACAAAGATGTCTAGTGATTCACAAGTCCATTCTAGTCATTCTGATGAGTCCATCACTAGTGAGAATTTGGAAGATATGATGTGGGAAGAAATTAATGATCCTACTGAAGCTCAGCTAGAAGCCCGGCTTGAAGCTCAACTTGAGATGAAATTGATGGCACGCCTAGCTGGGAACTCTAATCAGCGTGGAGGCTACACACGCAGGTACATCAGTAGAGATCATGAAGACGATCACAACAGGTTATTTGCTAAATATTTTTCAGACAATCCTTTGTACACCGATGATCAATTCCGTAGGAGATTTCGCATGAGGAGGCATCTTTTTTTGCACATTGTACAAGCTCTTGGCGAGTGGTCTCCATATTTTTGTCTTAGGACAGATGCATTTGGAAAGGTGGGTCTTTCACCATTTCAAAAATGCACTGCTGCCATGCGAATGTTGGCATATGGTACTCCAGCTGATCTTATGGATGAGACTTTTGGGGTAGCTGAAAGCACAGCAATGGAGTGTATGATCAATTTTGTTCAAGGTGTGAGGCACATATTTGGTAAACAATATTTACGTAGGCCTACCGAAGAGGATATTCAACGCTTACTTCAGTTTGGAGAGGCACATGGATTTCCTGGCATGTTGGGTAGTGTTGATTGCATGCATTGGGAATGGCAAAATTGTCCGGTTGCATGGAAGGGACAATTCACACGTGGTGATTATGGGGTACCCACTATCATGCTTGAAGCGGTTGCCTCAAAAGACTTATGGATTTGGCATGCTTTTTTTGGTGCCGCTGGTTCAAATAATGATATTAATGTGTTAGACCAATCCCCATTATTTACTGATGTCCTACAAGGAAGAGCACCTCCTGTTCAATATACTCTCAATGAGTCAGATTACAACATGGGATACTATCTAGCTGATGGTATCTATCCAGAGTGGGCAACATTTGCCAAATCAATCATCAGACCACAGAGCGCTAAGCATAAATTGTATGCACAACATCAGGAATCAGCTAGAAAAGATGTGGAAAGAGCCTTTGGGGTTCTACAGAAACGTTGGGCCATAATACGTCACCCGGCAAGAGTTTGGGAAAGAGAAGAGCTAGCAGATATAATGTATAGTTGTATTATTTTGCCCAACATGATAGTTGAGGATGAGAAAGGTTCCTATGACATACCGGATGACAAAACATATGAACAAGGTCAATTCTCTGCTCAGATAACAGGACTTGACCACGGACCAATATATGGATTTGCAGAGGTACTAGAGAAAAACAGGGCTATTCGTGATCGATCTACACATCGGCGTCTCAAGGAAGATTTGATAGAGCACATCTGGCAGAAATTTGGAGGTCAACCACAACAAGATTAGAGTGTATTAACTTACTATCAACCTTGTACTTTACTATTTTCATATCAACCTTGTACTGTAATATTTTCATGTCAACAGATTTGGCTCAATTACTTGTTTTTGCAATATACTTGTATTACTTTGCAATCTACCAGATTTGTCTCAAAGCACTTATCTTAATATGTCACATATTGAACCAGAACAAACAAGAAACAAATAATCACACATGAACAGTGAGGCATAAAATACATGCAAGTGGGTGAAAGGGGGCTTACCAAATGGTCTACTTTGCAATCTACACCGATCTTTCAGATCCGATGCACATAGCCTCCGGATGAGGACTAGAAGCCGAAGCCGACGCCTCCCATGACCTATTCAGCCTCCACAACGATGGCGGAAATTTGGGGGGAAGAACCCGTCGATGCGCCTGAGGGGTGGGGTGGGGGTGGTAGGGGAGGGGAGGGGGTAGTGGCGGCGATTAGGACGACATCAAGTCGGAGTCGGCCGGAATCGATGGCGGCTTTGATGGAAGGATTTTGGATCGGGATCGGAAGAGAGTTGGATGGAGAGGCGCTCCGGGATAGGGAGCTGCTCCTCCGCCGGCCTAGGCTGCTGGGCATTGAGGCCTCGGAGGCCGGCCTGATGCGGCGGCCGACTGCTCCGGATCAAGCGATGCAAGCAGCGGCGACGATGGAGTCTCTTTCTCTTTTTTTTTTGGATAAGGCAGCGATGGAGTCGAGACTGGGGATCGCATCGGCCGCGGGAGGAACTGAGAAAGTCACGGGAGGTTGGGGGTAGCGATTTGTTTTATTCCGTGGGCCCCATCTTAATTCCTTCTCTCTATTCTCATACATTGTGATGGCTAATTTAACTACTACTCACTGACAAATGGTCCCACACTAATACCCACTTCCATATTACACATTGCTGTTGCCCTAAGAATGCAGAGAGAAGGAGAGAGAAGCGCGTCTGCCTAATCTGAACCGATGGATTTGACGATTGAATGGTTCACATTCCGCGTGTCTGCTAGAGTTGGAGTCATCGCCACCACTACACTCTTTTTAAGTAGTAGAGATAATTACTTTTTGAGGTCATATATAGCAACAATAGCCGTGGTAATATGAAGCGTTGAATTGTCTGTCATATCCTAAACTAAAAAGGCGAGTGGGAGGGATACCATGTTTACATTTGCTAGAGTATGATATTTATGAATGTGATTACAGGTTGGATCTGTATACTAGACTGCACACATGCTTTTGTGCTACTTATGATATGTTTCAGATTTTTGTTGATGTACAATTTTCAATTTTTTTTTACATTTTCTCTTGGTGTCAACATATATTTATGATATGATAATCTTCAGATTTAAAGAGGCAGAGAATGATTGCAATAAGCATAATCACATTGGAAAGCATAAGAAAGCAATGGATGATATATTTTGACCGTCATTCTTTTCTTTTTTATATTAACTGTTGTATCGATGGACACAAAAAACTGAAAAGTAATATGTTTAATTTGTTGTCAGCATTAATAAAAAAAAATCAAAAGCTCTGTAAGCTGTATTTTGAGATCAATATTTATCCTATACTATCTCACACTGTTATGTGGATATTCCTTTTACCTCTTTGGCACATGTGACGGTGCAAGTAATCAGAGTCGCGCAACGCGCATGTGGCTAGTGAGTGTGATGTACGTGTGTTGTGGTGTGTATGTGTATATTTTTTTATATAATCATAACTAAACCAAAACATAGCGGTGGCTTGGGTTTTAGGGACTTCAGATTGTTCAATCAGGCACTCCTTGCACGTCAGGCTTGGAGGCTCATCGATAATCCAGATTCACTGTGTGGAAGAATTCTCAAAGCGAAGTATTATCCATGTGGTAGTCTCACTGACACTAGCTTTACGGGCAATGCTTCGCCAGGCTAGAAAGCAATCGAGTACGGCCTGGAACTCCTAAAGAAGGGGATTATCTGGAGAGTGGGAAATGGGGGTTCTATCCGGTTGTGGCGGGATCCCTGGATTCCCAGGAACATGTCTCGCCGGCCAATCACAATGAAAAGGAACAATAGATTAAAGTGGGTTTCTGACATCCTGAAACCGGATGGTTCTTGGGACGAGAACTTGGTTTCTGCAATCTTCCTCCCGGTGGATGTTGAAGAAATTGTAAAGATCAAGATATCCTCCCGCCAAGAGGAGGATTTTGTTGTTTGGTTTCCTGATCGGCTTGGTCGTTTTTCGGTAAGAAGTGCTTATCAGTTGGCAATGCAAATTGCTCGACAGGATGAATGCTCGTGCTCCTCGGACTACGCCATCAAGAAAGGGTGGAACCTGATCTGGTCCTGTAATGTGCCCCAAAAAGTGAAAATCTTTGGTTGGAGAGCAGCCACAAATAGCTTACCAACTATGGAAAACAAGAAGAAGAGGAATTTTGGAATTGTTGGACGTGTGCAGTATTTGTGGCCATGAACAGGAAGATGTGGGTCATGCGTTATACAGATGCCCTCATGCTAGGAGTATGTGGCAGTCGATGGTGAAGGAAAAGCATATCTCAAGCCTATTTTCAGCTGGCTGGGCAGGGCCAGACTGGATTTTAAACATGCTTCAGTTGGTACCGGACGATGAACAGGCCCTTGTGCTGATGATGCTTTAGCGCATCTGGTACATCCGCAACGAATTAACTCACGGAAAGCCGGCCCCTCCTCTAGAGGCCTCGACTCATTTTATCCTGAGTTATGTTCATTCCCTAGTGGAAATCAAGCAGCATCCTTTTGCAAATCTTATGAAAGGGAAGCATGTTGTAAACCTGAAGGAATGGGGAGCAGAGTTAAGGCTAACAGCATGTTTGGTTCTTAACTAACATTGCCATAACTCACTTTAGTCAATGTTAGGCAAGTGTGGCTTGCCACACTTTTTGTGGCCTACAAATTGTAAGCCACACTTGTAGTAAAGTTAGGCAAAAGATTGAGTCTATGACATATAGGGTAAGATAGTAAGAAAGTGTGGCTTGCCATAACTAAGGTAATGAACCAAACACAAGGCTAAGGAGGTGTGGCAGCCTAAAGTGTGAAGTGTGGTGTGGCAAGTTGAAGCATTGAACCAAACAGCCCCTAAATGTTCAACTAACCCACCCAGATGGTCAAGGCCAAAACCGGGATGGATGAAGCTTAATATTGATGGGTCGTATGGCCCTCAAGATGGGA